AACTGCTAAACATTGACACCTGAAATAAACAAAGTCTCATTATTACAACCCTCAAGCAGTACAAAGATCAACGTTATTGTCCCAACTTAGACCTCAAAAACGCCTCAGGCAAAAATACTAAATTAGCCTAAAGAACAAAATGGACATGATCATTTAGCCTAAAGTACGAACATCTCTTAGATACCCCAATCATCCAACAAATAACAACAAAACCAGGAAGGCTCTTAAGAGCCTCCAAACATTCCTTTATCAAAAATTGCCGAAATCCAACCCACCTGTCAAAAAACTAATAAATAAACCGACCACATTCGATTTTAGCCTCAAAAAACAAAAAATCGTTCGACGAAACGAATCATTTCTTCAAATGCTTCTTTCTCGAACAGTCAACAATATTCAAAACATTCTTTCAAACCTTTTTTTAATCCTTTCAACTTTTTTCAAACCTTGTAAAATTTTCATATCCGACATTTTAGAAATACTAATTCTCTCCCTGATAATTCTTTGCAACTTTTTCATCATTTTTTACTCTCTAGCTCAAACCTACGTTAATTTTTCCAAAATCATTGACCACCTCAGGTGCGATATTTCAAATAACTATCTAAATGTTCCAACATCTTTTCAGTAGAACAGATGTTTTTCTTCTTTTTATAATATTTCTCACGTTTCTGACATCCCTCATAATGACAATATGCAAATATATAAAAAAGGCTATTGTGATCTTTGCATTAGCAACAGTACTTTTAATACTTTTCATTCAAGAATATTACAAAAAACAAAATTTTCTCATAAATGAATAATTTTTCCAGAACTTTCCAAAATTGCTAATCAACAACCATCACATCAGTCCCCACCAACAACGTCCCGAGAACCTCCAACAACACCAACAAATAGTCAAACAAATAACTCCCTATCATCAACACGCATCTCTTTTCAAGACAATCCATAAACATTTGAAGAAAGACACTCACGATTGTCCGAACCACTAGAACCAGTATTTCGCCAAGCATCTCTAAGCGAACCACGATACGAACCAGTATATAATATATACCCCCCTCTCCAACAAGATCTTAATAGAGCAAGACCTCAAAGTGAAAACCAAAACACACTCGAAATAAACAAACAAATTATTCGCCCAAGACGAAATAGAAATTTGCAAACCCCAGAGTTCAATTCAACATACCTCATTCACCAATAGACCAATAGAAAACCCTATAGATCTCTCCAGTAGCACAATTCAAAGTACTCCCAAGACCCAAACACAACAAAACACATCAAACATTCCCTCAGATTTTTTAGGTTCAACCCCTACATCTGAACAAATCCGAGAAAATCCTTTCAATCCCCCAGCCACTACAGAACATCTCCCATTTTGGATGACACAAGCTTTTACTCAAGGCGAACCAAATTTAGTAAACGATCCAATAGACGTTTCATCTGACACAACCTTATCACTACCAGAAACTTTTTCACTCCCTTCAACTCCTTCCTTAACTCAATTCTCACAAACCTCATTTCCTTCAAATTTTCCTACAAATCTCGATGCCAGATATAGAGAAATTTCAACCAATAACATACACCTACGATTAGATTGGAATACATTCGTAGCACCCCCTCCATTGTTTAGACAACATCACGAAAGTAACAGATTACACAACTGGGCACTAAACAGATTACAATATCGACAAGATATCCACAAAGATATACAAGAACATAACATACAAATACTTACACAAGATAATCTCACAATAAAATTTGGAATCACAGTAAGACTAAATAATATAATTCATCCCCCCTTATCTCTAGCCCCCCTCCCCCGAATATAACAGCTCAATCTTTACCTCCCCCATTTATAACAACAGAAATCATCTACAAATACGATAGATACACAAAAAAGACAATTGGATATATCACCTTTTATAATCCATACTCAGGACTATCATACACATGAATCTTTTAAAGATACTTATTTTTCAGACCCTTCTATTTTTCATTCTCCCAAAACCCGATGATAGGAATCCTTCCTCCCGAACAGGACCCCAAGATTTATTAGTCACACATTACGACTGTGAAGAAAATGAACAAAAAACGTTACATAAATATGCAATAAACCAAGTCACTCAATGTGAATCCGATCCACAATCAATCGAAACAACAAACATAATAGCTACACTTTACTCAAAAGCACGAGCTACAACACTAACTGGATATAAATTCAGAGCAACCTTTTCCGAAAAGAAAGTACATTGTTCCCAAGTTTCAAACGGAAACAAATACAAACTAGATCAAGATTCTATTAACCAAAATAAGATAAAAAGATTTTTACATCTCAGCCCTGACTATGGTAAAAACGAACGCCGAACTCGACCCGAACTTGACACATCACGCCGAACTTGAAAGATACCAAGGTGACTAGATGACAAATTTCCCTTCCACCGAGCACATGGGAGATAAATTTACGATCTCCATGACAAAAATTGGATACCACACATTGGAATAAACAGCCTCTCAAATTGTAAAGCCGACACAAAAAATAAAGGGTACCAAGAGATAATGTTTTTTGATTGGAAAATATAACTTGAAAAAGTTCAACTAACACGTGGTTTAAAAGATGACACTATAATTTATCAAGAAATTAGACTCCCTTGCAAAAACGACCAAAGATACTGCGACCCTACTACACGCACACAAGCAACAATTGTTTGGTTCCCCGAAGACACCTGTACCACATTTAAGTAGCAAAAATACACGCTAGAATGATAAAATTTCACCAAAAATATTTTATTGAATCAATCCCATTTGAAGATGTGAACCCTGATCAACTCAGACATAGTATTTATAAATTTAGAAAGATTCATAAAAAAGAAAATAAATTGACACGCTTCCAAATATACCCAGAAACAGAACTTGCATGTAAATACACCAAACCACTTTACAAAACACAATATTCAGAAATTCTTGTCGAATACGAAGAAGGTTTCGACATGAAAACAGGAAAATCTATTATACATCCAATGGCTGCATCTCACTCAACCACTGACGAAAATTCATGTCCCAGTAAAATTTCTAAAAAAACACAGGAAGAATTGATGGAAAATTAAAACCACAAGACAAAGACAGTACACGTTTACAATAACTTTCACTCATGAACAACACTAATTTTGGCGCAATCTATTATAACATACACTTAGACATGAAATTAGACTACACAAAAAGTAGAATCTTTCATGAAATGTCTTTGACAGAACTTGAAACACTCTATCATTAATTATGCGAACTTGAACGCACACAAATTTTACAATCACTTGCACTAGCAGTACTTAAAATCCCTTAAGCAGGATATTTAATTTCAGGTAGCAGATCAAATTTCATTGACTACGAAGTAAACATTTTATGGTATTACACCTGTACGAAAAAGTATCACCTTTATATGTTTTTGAAGACAGATGCTATAAAAGAATCCCAAAATTCTACAAAAATAAAGTACATTTTGTTGATACACTCTCCCGAAGAACTTATTTCTGGGATACGGCAGTCCCATGTGGATCAGAAAATAGCCAAAAGGTTGTACAATTAAATCCCGACGAAGATAAATACTATATACTCACACCATATCCAACACTAATGCCACCACTAAAAAAGTTTTCACCTAAAAGCATTAGAGCTATTGCCAGAAACCCAAATATCGATTTGCAATCGATTGGCGTATACTCAAAATCCGAGATTCAACATCACATACGTACACAACAATTTCAGGAATTACTCACAAAAATGGACACAATACAACGACAATCCATAGACCTACACAAACTTGCAGAAACGGCAGGCTTTTCAGACATATACGCACAAGACTATAGCGGATATTTTAAAGATAAAAAAGATTACATTTACTTAAATGGCGAAAAAAACAGACGACAAGATATATCACCAATAAATATTTTTAGTTTTGTAAATCTGAAAAACGAACTTCTTGCCTTTCTAGGATGGCCCTACTACATCTTAGAAAGATTAACTATATTATACGCAATGTTTAACTTTCTTGGATTTCTTTTCTCCATTACGTCGCCAATCCGTGTTATTTCAATAGTCAGATTTGACTATTAGTGTACATGGATTCCGAATTCAAATGATATAACATGCACATGCCATGGATTCCGCGTTCAAATACTCGCATGGCGGCACGAACAGGCATATACGCAAAATCCCGGAATCCGGGACAATCAATTAAACCACCGAAAATTGGCAAAATCCCGGAATCCATGGTATAGCGAACAATTACTTGAATTCGGAATCCAGGACATGGTCCCGGAATCCGAGCCATTTTTACTCAACCACTAAACAAATAGTTGCTAAACAAATAGTTGATAAATTCAATACACTATAACCATGGAATCCAAGACGTTGGAATCCAGTGAGAAAAATGGCATGGAATCCAAGAATTTTATATTTTTGAATTTATCTGGCAGAAGTTTACAGTTTTTAAGCAATTTTATTCCATCTTTTTTGTTTAGTTTGTCCTACAAGTTATTATAACTGCAACTATTAACTTACGTGCTAAAATACTGTATTCCGATGAAAAAAGTTGTGGGTACAATCGTTTGATCAAACTTAGTTATAACTACTTGTAGTTGCAACTACTAACTAATTAGTTAATTTCGAGCGTGCCGAAATACTGTACTGAGGTTAAGACACTGCCAGTGTCTGAACTTGTTTGATCAAACTTAGTTATAAGTAGGCTACTTGTAGTTGCAACTACTAACTAATTAGTTACTAAGTAATTAGTAATTTCGAGCGTGCCGAAATACTGTACATGTACTTCGATGAAAAAAGTTGTGGGTGCAAATGTTTGAACTACTACTAGTAGTAACTACACGTATGTAACATACAGTATGTTGAACATAAAATATATGGAACTTCCATTGAATGGGTGTAACACAACAACAGTCAAGAATAAGAATACAACTTGAAAAGTTTCTAAGGTAAAAAAGCTGAGCTTGTGAACTTCACATGTTGAACATGTTTCGAGCAACTTTATCGCCATAATCGTATCGTAGCTGTTCGAAAGGCTCAATGTTTCTTCGGGCTTTGAATACAGCTAATCGTTTTGGCGGATCGAAGGCATTAAGAACAACTTCTATGATCTTCATATTCGCATCCAAATTCTTCTTGGAGTTTAGCGTGCTGTGATTAGCCAGTCGACCAAGACAGCGGTTGGTTGGATGTTCAACACACACTTCTGAAGAAGCATCGATGAATAGCTTCACAGGCGCGCCAATTTCCAGCACAAATTCAGTCGGAACAGAACGGTTCCTTATCAAATCTTGATATGTTTTATCTGTCACAGCAACCCCATGGTAGTCCATGATAATATCATCCTTCTGGAAGGCCTGTGTGCTGACAACGCCTGAATCAGAAAATGTTCAACATTTAAAGTTTACTCTATATTATGTAACACTGTTACATGGCATTTTTGAATGGAATTCAAAAAACTGTATTGGTTGAAAACTTTATGACTTTTTAAAACTTTAAACTATAACGTTTGAATCAAAAAAGAAATTTTTTTGAAAAAGAAACTTTTGAAAGTTTTGGAAACTTGTTGTCAACGTTTTCAAGAAACGCAAGATTACCTCTTCCGAAGGTAGGGAAAACGACATCACAAATGCCAACCCATTCTTGCGTATCACATCTGTGGGCCAGAAGCGTTTGTGCTTCCAATAACTAATGCCGCTGGAATCAAAAAGCGGCTTTTGTTGTCGCTTGCTTTTCTCTTTCTGCAGCATGGCGATTTGGGACATGACTTTCTTTAGGTCGTGATGAGTTTCCCATTTGTTTCGCTGGAAAAAACCCGACACGCGCGTCTCCGATTCAACAAAGTTTGGATACTGTTTCACAAAAGCTTGTGCCCTAATTGTCTGTCTAATGTATCTTTGTTGATCTTGTTTACATCGCACAGCTTTTTCAACATCTTTGTAGGTGTGATTGACAATCTGGAAAAACGTGAGCGTATTGTTTCATACATCCAATTGATAAATTGTGATACTGTATAAAAAAACTGTGAAGTACAAATCAGCTGAAACAGTCGAAACTTTCCGAAAGTTTCCGAGTCGAAACGTTTTTTAAATTAAAAAAATTCTTGGAAAATCAAAGTAGTACCTTGTGAATTTCCTGCGTTTTGTGTTTCACCAGTTGAAATGCAGGATCTTTTGACAAAGGCATGAATTTTGCCACTTGACGATCGAGCAGTGTCTTGGGTCGCTTAGCAGGCTCCATTTGAGCAGAAATCTAAACAGATCCTTCTAGAACGAATATTCCCCGTTGTGTTCAAATCATATTAGGAAGTTCAACTTCCACAGACTTATAAGTTAAAAGTTGAAACGTACCATGTCAGAAACTGTGGCGGCAATTCTATTCACACGAAACTTGGTGTTTCCACTGGAGTTCACAAAAAAAAGTTCTGTTTTGACTTGGATTGGTTGCTCAGGGAAAGATCGGGTGAAAGAAATTTTTTCTTCCGGGACACTCTGAGGTAAGAAATGTGGTCGAACTTCAGTGTGATAAAGTTTCAAACCCTGTACGAGCCATCGCGGCAAAATGTGATTCGAACGTTCAGTAGACACTAAACAAACAGTTTCACAATTTTGAAAAAAAGTTATACGGAAGAAATTCAAGATGACTCACTTTCACTTGGTTCAATTGAAACCGTTATACAAGTATCGTCCTCATCTGACAATGCCACAAACGCTTGTGCAACTGCATGAACAGACATGCAGCTTATGGTTTTTTCTAGCATTGATGGCACGACATAACAGTATAAGAATGCTGTCACAAGTTGAAATAACGAAACACGTTGTTTATGGGTTAAAAAACCCGATTCTTGGAAAACATCCAAGTGCTCTTTAACAAGTGTTTCGATTTCTTGCCTCTCGCAATGTTCATTTTGGTCGTCTTTGGACGAAGCAGCTTCAAGTTGTTCTTGAACGCGTGCAAGTTTTGCAGCTATCTAAACTCAAAACAAAAACTTTTAGTTGAACTACAAAAGTGAACAAAAACATTAGCTGAAAGTTTCCAACTCTTCACGGTTTGAGCAGCAAAAATGCTTTTTGATTCGAAACAAAAGGAATCTTACCTCGGTTTGCGAGTCATTGTTCGTTGGAATAACTCGTTTTGCCATATTCTCAGATGAAGACTCAGTCGGAGGCTCTGTACTTGAACTGCCAGCCTGAGTGGCAGTCGCCGACTGCGGCGTGAACAGAGGTGTTTCCCATGACAAAGTTGATGAATGCTGGTTTGAAGGAGTTGATTCTGAAGGTTGAGAAAAAAAACGACTGAGTTCTGTTCCATTGGCAGTGTAATCATCATGACGATCAGTGGGCTGGCTGGCAATTTGATTTCTATGAAAAAACGCAGGATCAAAGTGTGGGTACACCACTGGCATTGGGCTAATGAAGTTTGAATACCCTTCACTTCGAGAAGACACTTGCTGCGGAGTCTCCAATGTGTGGTAAGTATTGTCATGATGATTATGATTAACATCTGTAATAATTGTACAAGGTTCAGCATAGGGTCTATGTCCGACTCGGATGGGGGTTCCTAAAGGAACTTCCACAGATGGGAGCTGTGCAAAATTTTGGTCGAAACTCCGAGATGTACTACATATGTTAGTAACAGACTGTTGACTAGATGGAGGTTCATTATGATCTCTATGGAAAACAGGAGTTTCAAGTTGCGCAGTATTCACAGCAGGAAGTTCGGAGTCCATAGTTCAGGTTAACGAAACTTGGAATGAAATGAGAAGTGACTAGAAAGGATTGCAGAATCGAATGAATCACCCTCGGAGGGTGTTACTAACAACTTACTAATAATAGTATTATTCAATAATGTCAAATGGACTGAATGGAAGGGTCCACCCGTACAGATAACAATTCCAGAAGACCTTCGCGACAATCGGAGGATGAAACATTGGAAAATAAGAAAGACAATCAAAGTTGTTGAAGAGCCAGATAGGGCTAAAAGAAGAAACAAAAAAGATCCACTTCTGTTCAACCCAAGACGCTTAACTCGCAATACAGATGTTTTTTTCTGTGCTGCTTGTGAAACAGATTGCGTTGACAAATGCATTCTGATGACAGGGGTTGTACTGTACAACGATTCTTTCAAACGGGAATGTACATTGAGAATTTTGGACTCGGAGCACGATGAAAACCCCCGAGAAAAACCAGAGGCTAACATATTGGTTGTAAAATACAATCAACTTCGAAATCAAGGGCTCTTTGAAGATACGCTTACATCTGAGGTACTTATTTGCTTTGAAAAACATTTTTCAAAACATCACTCGGAAAGAAGTTCAACTTCAAAAGAAGTTTTTTTGAATAGCTGAAATTGAAAAACATATTTTAACTTCATTCATAATCTGTTTGAAATCGTGAATTGTTTCAGACATCTTTTTGTGACACGGCTACTTTAGATTTGGAGCCATGTGAGGTTCAGGATCATCAACGTAATCCTACAAAAAGAGCTAAAAAAGACGAAAAAGAAATTGACATGCTGACACTTCTCGAAGCCACAGAAGACATAGTGCCTTTGACCTTTGTCCCTTGTTCCAACGGTGTCCTCAAGGTTTGTTAACAAAATAATTACAAGCATTGGAAGTGTGTGCCGCGATTTTTTTAGATGTCATAAAGTTAGGAATATATGTCTCAGCGCCCGATCAAAATATTTTGTATAAAAATTCAATTTGTTTCTCAGGTTGGATCATCTGCTTTCTAAGGAGGGGAAAATTGCAGAGTAGACAGCTTGGAGTTTGAAGGAAGGACAAAAAAGGCCTTTGCACAGTTGACATGCATAAATAACGAGGACATTTCTATAAGGATGCCTGCACTCTTGGTTCAGCTAGCTTGTGAAGACTACCTCAAGGTAAAGTTTTTTTAATGAAACATTCCGAATTTTTATTGTCCCCGATTCCATGAAATTTAACAATGCTTACGACTGAGAAATAAAACTAGGAATTCATGTTCAAACCTTTAGCCATAAGGCCCGGAATCCAGTGTCAAATGACAAAACATTGCCAATTTTTATCACAGGCTAAGGCCTACAATTTTCATTTGAAACATTCCGAATTTGTCACGTCCCGGATTCCATGGAATTTTACAATGCTTACGACTGAGAAACGAACTAGGAATTCATGTTCAAACCTTTAGCCATAAGGCCCGGAATCCACTGTCAAATGACAAAACATTGCCAATTTTTATCACAGGCTAAGGCCTACAATTTTTATTTGAAACATTCCGAATTTGTCACGTCCCGGATTCCATGGACTTTAACAATGCTTACGACTGAGAAACGAACTAGGAATTCATGTTCAAACCCTTAGCCATAAGGCCCGGAATCCAGTGTCAAATGACAAAACATTGCCAATTTTTATCACAGGCTAATGCCTACAATTTTTTTTATCGTTTTCAAAAACTGAAATACTTTTGTTCAAAAGTACAGGATTTTGGCACGTGAAAACACAGGCTAATGCCTACAATTTTTATCGTTTTCAAAAACTCAAATACTTTTATTCAAAAGTACAGGATTTTGGCACGTGACTAATTTTGAAACATTTTAGCATGAAACGTGTGACTTCAATGCAATTGAACATCCAATCAATTTATCGTTTGCGGTGTTTTCCGCCTTGAAACGTGCTGTTGGATTGGCTAGGGACAAAAACTCCATCACTTTCAATCTTGGACCCGTGACCAAACTAACAAGACAAATAATGGGTTTTTCGACAGAATCCCAAAAGGAAGTGGTCAAGTTTAGTGCAGCAATATCCGAAGGAATTCGAGGCTGCCACAAATCTTGGGATTCTGTGTTGGGTAGCAGGTGGGATGTATTGCCCGCACAAAAAGACAATGGTCATGATACACTTATAAAGTATTTAAGGATTACAGAACACCGTGAATTCACAAGTTTCAACTTACGATGCAACGTTCAAACGTGCACAGGCCACTACGCAAGTGAAGAAGACTACCGGACTCTTTTTTCACACAACTTAGAACAGTCAAAACCCCATTATTTTTATTAGTTCAACTAGTTCAAAGTTTCAGTGTTTTCGCGTGAATGTGATCAATTAAAGTTTCATAAACTTCAAACCTTGACAATGTAACTTTTTTCAAATCCGAAAATTGACAATCAATTTTTTCTCTCTGTTAAATGAAAAGAAAACAAATTGTTTGCAAACACTTCAATTGGAAATGTTTCTCATAAGGCTCATAGTAAGAGCTTTAAGCTATGGTTTTTTGACAGTGTCAGTACAAGCAGTACTGAAAAAAAATTACAGTATAATCATAATCATCATCATAACGTCATTCAATGACGTAAGTTATAAATTATCATCATAAAGTCACTTTGACGGTCACTCACAGTGATAACTGCGCGCCGCGAAGGAGTTGAAAAGGCGTATTTACACAGAATTTGGAAGAAAGTTGACTCCACATCGAATGTTATTGTTTCATGTTCGAATAATCGAGAGAAAAATAACACGTTAAATGCGGTCGCTAGGGAACAGAAGATTTTTTTGAGCAATATACAGTGGTTGGCATAAACGGCTGTCAGGTTGAAGGATTTGCCTTTAACTTTTTGTTTGGACTCGGGGCTGGACTGACTAGGACACAATCATGTTGCCTCAGCATCATCATGAGTTCGATTCGCTTTTCCAAAAGTTCAACTTCAGAGAAGTTGTTACCCAGGTTCGAAGAGTTTCCAGTTGCAAGTAATTTATCCTGGAAAACAATACTGGATGACATCAAAAAATATATTCAACTTTATACTATAAATATAGTATACTATATGTAGTATATATTGATATATACTTGATATACATTGAATATATATGTAAGTTACATCAAGCCTTGATGAGTAATATTACTGAGTAATATTAAATTAATTTTGTCATAAACTCAGAGAAGTTTTACCAAAACGTTATGGATAAAATTGTGTGAAAAATATTCAATATTTCAACTTGAGCATAATTTGTACGTACGATGTATTTTACTAGGGAAACATGTTGTGCAAACGATGAGTCGTGTTTTTTCAGAATTTGAAACACGTCAAAAATTGCCGCGAGCTCATCGACATTTGCGTCGGATCCATCTCTGTAAACAAATTCAAAAATTTCAAAAAAAATAGATTTTGTCATATTATTCCAGTTATTGATTTTGAGGTTACATTATTATAAACTTCAACCACAGATTTTCACAGTTGACTCTTTAACATGATGTTAAATTTTCAAGTTTAAGTTAAACGTTGATGTTAAAACGTTAAAATGATGTTCAACGTTTGAAACGACTCACTGTACTCGAGACACAATATGAGTAAGCGCAAGGAACGAGAAAGAAGGGTAGCATTCAGTGAACTTTGTTTTCTGAACGCGTTCTGTCTTGAAGGTATCAGCGGCCAGACGAAGATGATTCTTGAAAATGAAGTTAACTCCATAGGCGACAGAAACGCCTGTCGTCTCCACCATATGAATCATATTCGCTGGCATGATTAAACCTTGTCGCACTTTCAGCGTGATAGCTTGGCACCCTCCCATATTCAAGCCTTCATGGGAACCGAAGAAAAATTTCCTTCGGGACTGCTGCAGGAACTGGTTGAAGAGATCCTGGTTGATGCTCGTCGGGGCTATCAAGAAGAACGTCTTACATCCTTTCAGTAGAATATAGAGGACTGATGTGCTGGAAAAATCGTGGTGGAACATTGTCACAGCGCCATCTTGAGAAATGAGAAGAAAGTTGGACTCTTTATTGGGCCGACATGCTGCGTGCAAACTTTTTGAATGAATGTGTCCCAGCGAGGTACTCGATAGGAATGACGGTTGTGTAAATTTTGTGATTTTTTGATGTGCGGCATCAGCGTCAATAATGTTGTAAAACATGGGAGGTGTTTTTCTGAACAACTGATCCACCTCTTTTCCATCAATTATCCTTGTTTGTTCCTGGAATGGTTCAATACTATAACTTAGAAATAGTAAGAAATTAGAAATTGAATTGAAAAAATTTCGGAAAATCATCCAGAGACATTTCAACCTCAACTTTCAGTGAATGAATGAATGACGGTCATGATAAAAATTTTATACTGGCAACCTTTGTTGGCAAATCTTTTGAAAAGAAAGCGTACTAAAGCGTTAGTAGTACTAACCCTGAAATTCGAGTCGTACGAGCGGAGGGTTAAGGGTTTTTTGTAACCTTCCAATAGAAGCTTCACGACGTTTGGGTTGTCGAGGACTGATTGTGACACTTTTGACGTGAAGCCGTTGAATCGAAAGGCGTCAGGAACAAAAACAGCATATTCTGAGTTCAAAAACTCTGCTTCCTGAAGGGCACTTTCGATATGTCGCGCTTCAACTGTCCTTACCAACGATTTCGCGATTTTTACCTGTGAACATAATTTTTTTCTCTGTGAAACACTTTTCATTTTTTACGAAAAAAACTCACGCAGGATAACACTCTTCGTAAATCTTGGATAGTCGTGAAGCTCTCCAGTTGCCTCAAATGCAACATGCGTGAGTCTCTCGGCAAGACTATCTTTACAGAAGGCCAGATAGAAGCGGCCTTAGAATCCACTCTAGTCTGTTTTGCTTGCTGAAAAAAGGAAGTTAGTGGGTAGTTTGTCCGGTTGAGTCAAACCCATTTGAAAAAACCCAAAGAACCAGCGTTGTGACTTCATTTAAAAAAATTAACTCCATTCTTCATTCAAGAAATATCATATTTCTATTTC